AAATGCGAAGAGAGAGTTATTATAAGATGTTGACAATAAACAATTTAAAATAAGAATAACCGAACATCTCAAGTACAAAGGAAATACAAATGGAAATAAGGGGAAAAAATTAGGAATGTGTAAAAGTGTTCTTTTTCACTTTTATTCCCACTTTATTACACTTTTACCCCTTCCTAATTTTTTCCCCTTATTTCCATTTGTATTTCCTTTGTACTTGAGATGTTCGGTTATTCTTATTTTAAATTGTTTATTGTCAACATCTTATAATAACTCTCTCTTCGCATTTTTCTAACTTATTTTAATTATAATTGTATTTCGATACAATTACAAGGTAATTAATTATTTTTTAATTTAATTGTTACTAAATTAACAATATAGATATGATGTACGTACAATATGTTGTAATTTTACATTATATTCATCAATTTATTACCTTGAGAATTGACTCTCTTTACTGATTTATAATTAACTCTTACATTATATTCATTTCTTTGCTGATACTGTATTTTACGATTTGATTTGATTCTTTTTACTGATTGATAATTGACTCTTGCATTATATTCATTTTTACTGATACTGTATTTTACGATTTGATTTAGAAATGTGGAGTAGTCCATAAACTATATAATTAGACGATTGCTTTGCTTGGTGGACTCTTGCTGGTGTACACGATATGATTATGAACTTAATTATGCGAGTGAGATTAAACATCTATATCAAACAATTTTTATATTTATATACATATTTATTTTGCGTTTATAATTTTATAATACAATAGTTTGTACATTGTTAACGATTTTGCGATTTTAACATTGAAAATGACCTAATGAAGGTCGAAACGTTTGTTTTTATATTTTATTAAACTTTATATTTATTTATTTTTAATTAATGACAGTTTATTGCTAAGACCTTTATATTTTAACTAATGTTGGCTCGTAGCCCTGTTTTGTATTAATTGTTTTTTAAATTCATTGAGCCTTGTTATTTACATATTTGATATTATATATTTTTTTTTTAAATTTGACATTTTATAATTGAATTTCTTGACTCTTATGCCATTTATATACATTTTTTAACTTGTAACTGTAACTTCGTTACAAGTAACGAGTTACTTCCATTCCCTGGAAGTATCTTTAAAAACTCTATAACGAAGTGAATATACAAAATAATGTAGAAATGCAGTCTTTTTCTTCTTTCATTTTCAATTCTGCCAATCAATGTCCATGTTAATGCGAATATTCAAATTAATCATTATCGAAACACTGTTACATTTTGTACTTGTACTTTTTGTAAACCAACTGACAAACAACGTACTTGATAACTATGATAGTTATACTTGATAGGCTGCTTTTAATCTAAACCATTTTCATAACTTTTACTTCAACTATTTGTATCATCCACCGGAAGTTTTTTGAGAGCAGGCCGCCATGTTCTTTTTTGAGTCATTAACAAATTGATACTCTGAAATTACAAGCAATTATTTTTTATTGTACGGTCTAGTATAAATTTCAAATCAAATCTCAATAACCGACTTTTACATTTTGTGCACTAAGAATAACATATTACAGTTATTTTCTAGAAAACTGTAATATGCAAATTGTAATCTGTTTTACTTATATATGTATGTATGTTCATTTCGAATTTGCACCTTGAATAATCTATCAGTTACTTTTCGTAATACATATTCAACTTTATGTATGTTCACTTTGTACTGGCACCTTTAATTAAAAATCAGTTTCTCTTCGTGGTTATTATCTGGAGACACGGTAGTGTCTCGGCGCTAAGCCAAGCGCCGCGGCACTGCCGTGCCTCCTTTACGCGAAACTGAGAGTTTTGGGGGATTGAGATGATCAGATCTCAGTAACGGCTGAACGGATCAAATTCTATATATGCTCAATCGATAGCAATTGCTTAAATTGTATAATAAAAGTGCTTTCATTTTTTCTCCACGTGTCCTACGAGCGAGGATATCACGACTCAAAGTCTGTTCGATAGCGATCGTGGTATGTTTTAAAAGAAATGAAGCTTGTAACATAGACGAATGTCGTATAGAATCTGTAAATTTTAGTTTATTAGACAATGGAGAACAATAGAATGATATTCATAACACGAAAAGAAACATTTAAAAAATTGACGATAGTTAATATTATGCTTAAAAGATAAGAAAATACTCATTAAATAATCTAAAAGAAATTATTAAATATAATGAAAAATGTAATTCTTAGAATGTAATAACTTTGAACGGTTAAGTAGAGTTAATGACTCGAATGTAAGAAGGAATGTAAAAGATTATAGTAAGCTTTACAAAAGAACTAAAATCCTCCTGGCAGAAGGCACAGCATGCAACTTGCGATCTTGATATAAGGAACTTATAATACTGAAAGTAATTTACAAGACTTACGTTAATGATATTCAGTGTCGGCTATCAGCCGCAAGTTTATAACATCTGACTTATGAGCTCGGAAAGCCGTGTTAACAATCAAGCGCTTTCAGGTACCTGAATCCCAGCGTCTTTCACCATTGTCCAGCGGACATGTTCGTTGCCTCGTCTCAAGCGAGTTTGCAATTTGACTTGATCAAGCATTTACCGGTTTTAATTCGCAGGCTAATAGCCTCAATTGAGCTTCCAGCTCCAAGTGGGCTTCCAGTCCCTCACTTTCGGATAACAAGAAAAGCACACAATAGCTTCAAACTACCGAAACTCGTAGAAGTCAAAACGTGCGTCCACGTTAGGCAAGATGGCTAGCGGCAATGAATACAACGACCGTTCCGTGCGTAACACGCGAGAACGAACAAAGGAGAGACAAAAAGAAGAGGCCAGCGCCACGCGCGGTCTTCTTCGTAAATGCTTGCGACCAAAATTTACAGCGGTCGTGGTAATTACCGACGACTGGCGGTCTTCCAAAATAACTCAAATTTATTATTTAAACATTCCGCCCGCCTTCATTAAGGCTAGTTAATGAATAACTTGTGGGAACTATTGCACTACAGGCAATGGACATATCTTGACAATAGGCCGTTTCAAGAGAGAGGTTTGAGTTTGGACTGTGTCTACTCGAGTGTGCCCATCCTTACCGGGATGAATAGCAGTGATCCGCCCTAGAGGCCATTTAGAAGGGGGGTAACGTTCGTCTATTACTAGGACTATGGTTCCGTCTTGCAGAGAGGGAGTAACTTTATTCCATTTATACGTAGCATAGTATTGTTGCATACATTCGTGTGACCATCTGGTCCAGAATGAATCTAGAGCTTGTCGAATGAGCTGCCATCGAGATAAGCAAGCGGTTTTTACCAACTCGAGAGAGGGTTCTGAGACAGTCATAGGCGCACAGCCCATTATAAAATGTCCGGGAGTCAGAACATTGAGGTCATCTGGATCCTCAGTTAAAGGGCAAAGTGGTCGGGAATTCAGTCTACGGCTTCAATCTGAGTCAACAGAGTGCTCATTTCTTCATACATAAAGGTAGTATTGCCAACAACTCGAATAAGATGGTGTTTCATTGACTTAACGCCGGCCTCCCACTTGCCTCCGAAGTGTGGAGCTGAAGGGGGGTTAAATTGCCACTGAGTACCGCTGTTGGCTAATAAAACTGCTAGTTTAGAGGATTCTTGCTTAGCTTGTGAGAATAACCTTTGTAACTCAGAATCTGCTCCCTTAAGCGTTGTGCCACAATCACTTGTGAGCGTGGAACAAATTCCTCGTCTTGACACAAATCTCTTATAAGCAGCTATGAAAGCGTCTGATGAATAGTCAGTTACAAGCTCCAAGTGAATTGCTGACGTGGCGAAACAGACAAACAGAGCGACATAGGATTTGTAAGTGCGTGCATTCTTTCCTCTCCAGGTCTTGATTAGGAAAGGGCCAGCATAATCAATGCCAGTGTGAGTGAATGGACGAGAAGGGGTGATACGTTTAGTAGGGAGTTGTCCCATTAATTGCTGAGCTCGTTGTTGGCGGAAGCGAGTGCATTTAACGCATTTGAGGATCCAAGATCTTACTGGGGCTCTACCTCCTATGATCCAGTATTCTGAGTGAATTAAGGATAGTGTAACTTGCGTTCCCCCGTGTAATGCCCGATAATGAGCGTCTGCTATGACAAGTGAAGTCAGTGTTGACTTTCGAGGCAAGATCCAGGGGTGCTTTTCTTCCTCGTTTAGAAGTGAGTTTTGTAAACGACCGCCTACTCGCAATAGACCTAATGCATCCAGAAAGGGAGTGAGGCGGATGAGAGGACTTGACCGCGGAATCGGTAGTCCTTTAGACAGGTAGGTAATTTCGTTGAGAAAAAACAAATAGTTTGGCATTATTCAATTCAACTATTGAAAGGGAAGACGAAGAGGTTGTAAGTGGGATCCCTCGGAATCTAGAGACAGCACGTTGGCAAAGGGCAATGACACGATACAGCTTTTTAAGACTAGAGTATCGAGAAAGGAGATCCCATTCCTTTTCCTTACTGCTTGTAACTACATGTACAACAGAGGAGTGTTCTTCGAGCTTATCATTAAGACATGTTGGCGTGACTTTCTGTGGCCAAGCTGATCTCTCCTGTGAGAGCCATTGAGGGCCGCTCCACCATTCAGAATGATCTAAGAGCTGAGAGGGGGTAGCACCTCTAGTGGCTATATCTGATGAGTTACAATGGCCTGGCACGAATCTCCATTCCGCTTGGGGTAAGGTTTCTTGAACAAGGCTGACTCTGTTACGTACAAACTCTTTCCACTTAGATGGATGATTATTTAACCATATGTGAGTAATTGAGGAGTCAGTCCAGAGGGTTATAGGCAAATTCTTTAATTCAAGCACCGTAAGAAAATGGGAAACTAATTTAGTGAGCAATACAGCTCCACACAATTCTAATCTGGGAATGGTAAGACGTTTCAATGGTGCTACCTTTGTTTTTGATGCTACGAAATGGACAGTGGTTAATCCTTCAGAGTCGGTGACTCGAAGATACAAGACAGCAGTCATAGCCTTTTGAGAAGCATCTGAAAATCCATGAACTTCGATTCCATGTTGACTTGAGAACCCTATCCACCGAGGGATAGTAATTTTAGGTATTTCTTGAAGGGTTTCTAGAAAACTGCGCCATCGACTTTCAAAGTGAGATGGTAGAGAGTCATCCCAACCTATTTTCAAAGCCCATAATTCTTGTATAAAGATCTTTGCTATAATTATAATGGGAGACAAGAATCCAAGCGGATCAAATAATTTGGCGATGGTTGACAGGGCTTTTCGCTTAGTGAATACATTGTCCATCTGACAACTAAACGTGAATTGAAAGACATCTAATGACGGTTGCTATTGAAGCCCGAGAGTATGAACAACGGTATCATAATCAAAATCGATTGACAACGAGGATATCTGTTCATCCTTCGGAATCAAACGAAGTATATCTGGATGGTTGGAGGACCATTTCTTCAATTTAAAACCGCCCGCCGTGCAGAGCTGATTTAACTGAGTAACAATTTCTTGAGTCTTTTCTATGCTATAAGCACCTCCGAAGAGATCGTCTACGTATCTCCCTTTTTGAAGACAGGGAACTGCTAATGGGTACTTTGAACCCTCATCGGTTAATAACTGTTGAATGGCGCGTAATGCTAAAAAGGGAGCACAAGCTAGTCCATAAGTAACAGTAGGAAGTTGGTACGTTTTCAGGTTGGGTGACTGATCACACCATAAAATCCTTTGAAAATCCCAATCGTCTGGATGAATGTCTATCTGGCGATCCATTTTTTCTATATCGGAGGAAAAGATATATTGAAATTGACGAAACCAGAGTAGAACATCGAATATGTCTGATTGAAGCTTAGCTCCAATGTGTAACAAATCATTGAGAGAAGAACCTGAAGAAGTGGCGCTAGATCCATTAAATACAACACGTAGTTTGGTAGTAAGGCTTTGTTCCCTTTTAACTCCGTGATGTGGCAAGTAATATACATGATGAGGTTCAGGCAAATGTGGAGGGACTAGTTTCATATGATTAAGCCGTTCGTATTCGCTTAGAAACTCTGAATATTGCTTTGCATAGTCAGAATCCGAAGAAAGCTTATGAGAAAGTTTAAGCATGATTCGAGCGGCCCTTTGACGTGAATCGCCGAGATGATCAACAGATTTTTTGAACGGCAATCGCACCACATACCGTCCTTCTTGATTGCGAGAGTGGGTGGACATGAAATGGTTTTCACAAGCTTGTTCGTCAGATGAGAGAACGGAGGTCGTTGAAGGTACTTCATCAATTTCCTAAAATTTATGCATTAGATCATAGAGATTCTCATCGACTGAAATGTGAAGGCTATGAGAACTAGTGGGAGATACTTTAGGGCCCGTGGGGCCGGAGATGATCCAGCCTAATTCCGTGAGTTGTGCCATTGGTGAACCAATCGGCCCTTTAATAATACTGTCTCGTATAATTTGGCAATAAATGTCTGCACCGAGAAGAATGTCAATTTGATTTGATAAAAGATATTCGGGATCCGCGAGTTGTAAGCCCCTTAAATGAGACCATGATCCTTCTTGAAGGGACACGGAGGGCAACGAAGCTGTCAGTCTTGGAAGAATGTGAGCTGATACAGAACATTCAAATGATGATTCAAAATGAGGCTTTAGTTTGAAAGAAGTAAGTCCTTTAGAATTATTACTCCTTTTTCTGCCAATTCCAATCAATGGGATATTAGATTTCGTCCGGGGCAAATGTAAGCGTTGTACTAGTCGCTCCGTTATTAAGGATATTTCTGACCCTTGATCGATAAGAACTCTAGCTTTACAAGTATATCCTGTTGGAGACTGAACGGAAACAAGCGCCGTTGCTAATAATACCGAGTATTTACTGACCTTATCTTGTTCGAAGGAATGGAAAACTTGTGGGACTTTCTTTGTATCTTTATTTATAGTTGACTCTTCTGCAGAGGAGCTCTCTGCATTTTTTACCTCTGATGAATTGGAAGATCTAGCTTTAACCTTTGAACCTTCAAAGTTGCCACGATGGAGTGACACGTGATGCTTTCCTGCACATTTTTTACAATGTACAGACATACGACAATTCGCTGCTCTGTGCGGTCCGAAACAATTATAACAAAGATTAAGTTTTCTTACTAGAGCAAATCGTTGCTGTAGCGGTTTTGAAGTATATTGCGGGCATTGACATGGCCAGTGGGCTTCCGCACAGAAGGGACAAACCTTGGAGCTATCATTTTTAAATCTTCCCTGGAAATGCAGTTTTAGAGAGTTTTGATTTGATAAGAATGGCTTACCTGAGCTTTCTCATAATTTTGTAAAATCACCAATCGAGTTATGAAGAATTCTAAGAATTATTTCCATGTAAGAAGCTCCTTTGACGAACCAATATGCTGCTCCCACACTTTGACTGATTCAGCATCCAGTTGTTGAACGACGATAAAAATCAAGAAGTCATCCCATGAATTTACAGGTCGTGCTAGCGTTTCCAATGTGCGATAAATTTGGATTACAGTAGTGTACAATTTTTCTAATTCAGAGGCAGACTCCCTGGTAATACGTTTTAAATTAAGTAAAGAGCTTAAAGCAGCATTTACAAGAAGTCTTCGGTTTTCATAGAATGAAATTAGAGAATCCCAAGCCTTAAAGAAATTGTCAGCAGTTAGGGTAGTATTACTTAACATATTTACGGCAGTGCCAGTGAGGCTGGTTTTCAGATATTGAAGCTTTTCTACAGGAGATAATGTGGGATTATCGATAACCAATGATCGAAATAAATCCTTGAATGGTAGCCAATCAGAAGGCGTACCATTAAATTTAGGAAGGTCTAGACGGGGAAGGCGAGCATGATGAAAGAATGTGGGAAGGCTTGACGTAGACAACGTGGTGGTTACAGCTTGCGAGAATGCCGTGGCTGACGTCATCCCAGGAATACTACTTTGCTCAGATTGTGACTCTAGCAAGGAATTCATACGCTCGATAGACTCTAAATATCCTTCATTTGTCATTGAAAAACAATTCTCAGAGAAATATATATTATTACGAATGACAATCTTATCATCTTCCTCTAATTGTCTTATAGACAGAGTAATGGCGTCATGAGCCACAAGAAATCTCTCCCAGTTCTCTTTAAGAGCTGTAAGTCGTACATTAATCCTTTGAGAAGCAACATTCTCCATGCCATATTTAATAAGGTTGTCATAAGCATTAATTATGAGAGATGAAAGACTTAGCTGTTGCTCGATATGATGCTCTATGTGACTGACTCTCATTTTCCTTGTTCGCAAACAGCGCCGCCTATCAGAAGGATCCGGCTCGAAAGACCAAATGTTCGATAGCGATCGTGGTATGTTTTAAAAGAAATGAAGCTTGTAACATAGACGAATGTCGTATAGAATCTGTAAATTTTAGTTTATTAGACAATGGAGAACAATAGAATGATATTCATAACACGAAAAGAAACATTTAAAAAATTGACGATAGTTAATATTATGCTTAAAAGATAAGAAAATACTCATTAAATAATCTAAAAGAAATTATTAAATATAATGAAAAATGTAATTCTTAGAATGTAATAACTTTGAACGGTTAAGTAGAGTTAATGACTCGAATGTAAGAAGGAATGTAAAAGATTATAGTAAGCTTTACAAAAGAACTAAAATCCTCCTGGCAGAAGGCACAGCATGCAACTTGCGATCTTGATATAAGGAACTTATAATACTGAAAGTAATTTACAAGACTTACGATAATGATGTTCAGTGTCGGCTATCAGCCGCAAGTTTATAACATCTGACTTATGAGCTCGGAAAGCCGTGTTAACAATCAAGCGCTTTCAGGTACCTGAATCCCAGCGTCTTTCACCATTGTCCAGCGGACATGTTCGTTGCCTCGTCTCAAGCGAGTTTGCAATTTGACTTGATCAAGCATTTACCGGTTTTAATTCGCAGGCTAATAGCCTCAATTGAGCTTCCAGCTCCAAGTGGGCTTCCAGTCCCTCACTTTCGGATAACAAGAAAAGCACACAATAGCTTCAAACTACCGAAACTCGTAGAAGTCAAAACGTGCGTCCACGTTAGGCAAGATGGCTAGCGACAATGAATACAACGACCGTTCCGTGCGTAACATGCGAGAACGAACAAAGGAGAGACAAAAAGAAGAGGCCAGCGCCACGCGCGGTCTTCTTCGTAAATGCTTGCGACCGAAATTTACAGCGGTCGTGGTAATTACCGACGACTGGCGGTCTTCCAAAATAACTTGAATTTATTATTTAAACAAAGTCCGAATCTGTAAATTTTCGCGTTTTATTTTTAAGAAACGTCGTCGTCATTATTATCGTTATCGTCGTCGTCGTTATTATTATTGTCATCGTCGACCACATCCCATTCGATGTCCTTCTGACATTCCTACCACAAGAGGCAAATGTGGCGCTAGTCTATACCGCTCGATCGTCATGGGGCATGTGGACTGCGAGCGGAGCGGTGAGGTGAGAGAGGTGCAACTTTCGGTTGATTTTCGAATATTCGTCCAGCTTTCGCAGTCCCTCTTACCGTATACCGTATCGCACCGCGCACAGTACAATGCCATTCGACCATCATGGAGCACTTGGACTGCACGCGGTGAGATGAGGTGAAGAGGGGCGGGCAAATGCAACCTTCGGCTGATTTTCGAATAGCCTTCGTCTAGCTTTCGCTGTTCCCCTCATCTCACCGCTTCGTGCGCTGAACAATGCCATTCGACTGTCATGGGGCATTTCAACTGCACGCGGTGTGGTGAAGGGGACAGTGCAACTTTCAGTTGATTTTCGAATCGCCTCCGTCTAACTTTCGCTGTCCCCCTCACCTCACCGCTCCGCGCGCAGAACAATGCCATTCGATTGTCCATCCAATTGTCATGGAACATTTCGTTCGACTGCACGCAGAGCGGCGCGGGGGACTGTGCAACTTTCGGTTGATTTTCGAATCATTTACGACTAGCTTTCGCTGTCCCCCTCACAACACCATACCGCGCATAATATATTACTACGAAGAGCAACTGTTTTACATTTATTTAATAATTTTGTTTTATATATGCGATTGCGTTAACGAATAAAAAATAAATATGTTGTATTAAAATTGACGCGTTGGCAGCCTTGGGGATTGTTTTGATGTGCAAAGGCGGACGCGAGTCGCACGTCACCCCCTCACTCGGCTCACCGATAATAAACCGTGCAGTCATCACTTAAATACATATATATATTAAATAAAATTATTATTTTAAATTCTACGGATTGCTGACCGATATGACGTATATTTAAAACCATCGCAGTATTATCACGAGTTAAATTGCATTAATATATTACCATGAAAAGTAACTGATTATTAATTAAAGTTGCCAGTACAAAGTGAACATACGTAAAGTGTATGTAACTTTCGGCCGATTTTCAAATCGCCTCTGCTTTCCGCTGCATCTCTCATCACATATTAAATACATATATATATATTTGAAATACATGTTTATATATTAAATAAAATTATTTTAAATACTCCCGACTGCTGACTGGTATTATATTTAAACCATTCGACTGTCACGAGACATTTCGACTGCATGCGGAGCGGTGAGGGGGACAGTGCAACTTTCGGTTGATTTTCGAATCATTTACTTCTAGCTTTCGCTGTCCCCCTTACCACACCGCACCGTGCACAGATCAATGCCATTCGATCGTCATTGGGCATTTGGACTGCACGCGGAGCGGTGAGGTGAGGGGGACAGTGCAACTTTCGGTTGATTTTTGAAACGTTTACGTCTAGCTTTTGCTGTCCCCCTCACAACATCGCACCGCGCATAATGTATTACTACGAAAAGCAACTGTTTTACATTTATTTAATAACTTTATTTTGTAATATGCAATCGCGTTAACGAATAATAAAGAATAAATATGTTATTCTAAAATCAATGCGTTAATATTAGACGGTTAGTGAAAGCAGCCTTGGGATTGTTTTGATTTTGAAGGGCGGACGCTAGTCGCACGTCCCCCCCTCACCCGATTCACCGATAAACCGAGCAGTCATAAATACATATTAAATAAAATTATTATTTTAAATACTACCGACTGCTGACCGATATGACGTATATTTAAAA